GCCTACCTCGGGTCGATACCCCCTCCTACCATTTGCTACTCTGATGAGCAAAAGTAGGATAGTGTATGAGGGTCAAAAGCATGTCCTGTTAAGGCGTGAGGGATTTGTGATAGAGAAGTACAGGTTGTGTTTTCTAAACCAAGGGAGTAGTGTAACAATCCTAGCCTTGATAAGTCTGTTAAGAAATCCCCCATGGGAGATCTCGCTCTTGGCATCTCCCTTGGGGTTCCTTTAGGGCAGGGTTTCCCCAAAACCTCTCCTCAGGCCCCTCCAGACGTTTCACATTTTTGTTTTAACCCTTAACTGGCACACCTTGTTCAGTTAGTCAAATAATCATCAAGCCTTTGACTAATTAAATCAGGTGTGGCAGTTTTGGGTTCAAACTAAAATGTGAAACATCTGGGGTGGGCGGTGGAGAGGGTTGGGAAACACAGTTTTAGGGTCAGATGCCCCAGAGTCAAGCTCTATTTAGGGTGATACTCACCCCCGACATTAGCTGCAATATGGTCACCTGTTCCGGTAAGGTCCATGTCCTCCGCTGTGACTTTTGATGACAATAACATACAATTAACATGAGGCAGCCAGGGCTGGCAATGCTATCTATTTAGAAAAAGTGGTTACACTTTACATGCGTAAACAAACAGACAAAACTAAATAGGTACATAACATGTACTACGTCTTGAGGTCTTTTTAGACCTTTCTTGTCCAGGTCTTTGGTGAATCATGTTGCCTCTGCTGTCCCTCTCTATCCATTGGACAGGGGCAAGGCTAGTGGCAGGAGCAGGTGGCTGTCGCTTTGCAGCTCGCTCCTTCTGATCTTAAAGTATTTATTAAAATCAAACATAGAATGGGAATCTGTCTGTGATTAAAATTACAACACAACAACATTGTGAGGAATCTGTCTGTGATTAAAATTACAACACAACAACATTGTGGTATGTACCCACAATTCAACTGCCCTAAAAATGTGTTGTACATCAGTTGTACAAACTGAGTGTGTGCAGGCCGGGCCCCTGTGGTGGTCCTTACACAGTAGGTGTATAATGACTGTATAATGACCGCCACAGGGGCCCGGCCTGTACACACTCAGTGTACACTCAACAAGTTTACACAGCCGTGGAGACACCGCCCAATGATTGTGTAAAGATTTTTAGAGGAGCAAGCTGCAGGTCTATAGGATTTGTGCTTTTCTTTTCCATTGAGGACTACAAAGACAAACCCTGCAATATCTGCTGCAATGTGATGTCTAACCATTATACAACACTTCAAGCACATTAACATTATTATGCATTAATTCGCAATGATGCCTCAGCCTCGCCAGCAGCTTAAGGCTGAGACATGAGGGCAGGCTGTCTGCACATTACACAAGCACAGCACAGTTAGTCTCACAGTATGTAAGTGTTTGCAGAAGTGAGGCGATAGGAGACAGTACTGCAGCCAGAGCCCAACCTCTGTGTCATCCATCCACAGGCAGCATAAGCTTGTGGCACACACAGTCATGCACTTCTCACATGGGCACACTCAAGCCCTCTGACAGAGCCTTCTCACGCAGTTTCCCACACGGTTTACGATGGGCTAACTAGCACTAAGCGGGTGTTCTGTCATCACATCAACACAGGGAACTTAACCTCCCAGATGCCTTTTCTGGGTGAGTTAGGTAACCAGTTTTCCCACAATGCACTGCTTTGCCCTACTTCTGTCAGTGTGCTACGTTTTATAAAATCGGGGGTAGGTGTATCTGCCAAGTTCCCATGGCAACCCCTGCATCTAGTGACCTTAACCTTTCAGTTATAACCTTACTTGGCGTGTAACATTAGATTAGTGTTATGTGGCCAGTCTCTGGCCAGGGCACACTGATGAAGGATCTGATTTAAGGCAGATGCTGAAAAATAGTATCTTTATACTATCTATTTCCAGTGGGACCCCCGGTAGTTTAATAATACCTTGCTTCACGCCTTTGAGATCCCACTTTGTTTTCTGTCCTGAATAAACAGAGCAGGACACCTTATACAAAAACAATGCCGGGAATTTTCTTTCCCTTTCCCATTTTGGCAATATTCCTGGACCTACTGCTGAAACATGCCCTCTCTCAAAGGCAGGAGAACAAGATACACTGATACTCTGCAGACGCTAACCTAAAGTTTACGTAACGTCTGACGCTACCCCCGTTATGTAAGCCCTATTAAACATATCCCCACTGGCTTCTCCCTCACTCCCATCAGACAGACAGCCTGCAAATTACATTGGTGCTACTTGTCCCCCCCTCCCTCCGAGTCCATCATTCCTCCCGGTGCGGTTCGGTGCGGTATGGGTCAGGTCATCTCCTCCAGAAAAAAGGCAGGGCTGCAGAATGTGAGGCAGTGGGGCAGGGGGAGTGGAATAGCATTTATTTCCTTCTAACCGTGACCTACATTCACAGTGTTACGTAAACTCAATGCAGCGCTTCATAAGCTTTTCGTTATGTCCCAAGATTCTAGATGTTTATAAAGAGCTACACTGATACACGTAACCAACGGAGAGAAATATCGAACAAAGGACTAGGGGCGCTTCAGATTAAAGACCATCGGTTTAGCTCTTATTTCCACATATTAAGAGCATAACCTTTTTTATTCATTAGTTTTATTCGTATAACATTGCAATGACTACATTTCTATAAAAACAGAAATATAACATTGGATAAGATGCCAACAACATACATTCATTTTTGTAAACACATACAGTTAGAGGCAATTATACAAGTGTTACACAACCACCAAAGTAAGACTACATGGTCACTTCATCTCCATAGAAACAAATGACATGTCATTATGAATAAATTAGCATGTTCTGTGGTGGAAGAGCTACCGGAGTGTCAGAGGTAGATTGACTTAGATCACTAGTGCAAGGTTCAATGTGGAATTCAAAAAGGTCAGGAAGATACTACCTTTGATGAATGACAACTTGGCTAACATGCAACTGCCAGATCAAACGAATATACATGTAAATGTGTGAGGTTTTGGTGAGGAAATATAAGCTACTTGAATTGACATGCCAATCAATTAACTTTTATCCCAAAAAAATCCCCTTAACATTTTAATCATTTAGCAGACGCTCTTATCCAGAGCAACTTACAGTTAGTGAGTGCATACATTTATTTTTTCATACTGGTCCCCCGTGGGAAACGAACCCACAACGCTGGCGTTGCAAACGCCATGCTCTACCAACTGAGCTACACGGGACTTAACCAAGTCTCAATGTTGTTGTATATGAAAGTCAATAGAAAATATTCACATTGTGTTCTTGCAATGAGATGACTTTCATTTAGTTGTGATACGATATAAGAACTATAGTACCAATATTTGTAACCACAACCGCAGGACTCGTCATACAATGAACCAGGATTGGAGTTTTACCAATATTTGTAACCACAACCGTAAGACTCGTCATACAATGAACCAGGACTGGAATGTTTTTAATTTCCTGTTTGTGTCCTCGAAAGAGAACACCACATATTCAGCTAAATAGTTTGAACTTTTGAAGTCTTCCTCGCTGGAATGATGTCTTTGTCTAAATTCTTCTACTTAGTTCATGGTACTGGCATCATGGAAGAAATCCAACTAAAGGCACTAAATGTAGAAAAATATTAGAAATCACAGTGTTTGATGCTACAGTTTATGATTCCAGTGGACAATAGCTTGAAAGAGAACATGATGAGGTTCAAATGACAGAAAGCAGTCTTCCAACTCCTTCATGAGTTTTTAGAATGATTTGATTGCTGCTTATTTGAACTGAATGTAATGCATGTTAGGAAAATCATTCCAGAGTGTCTTTGGCTTAGGACAAGACAACCAAATGTAAAACATCTCAAATCAAACAGAGAATATTGGAAAGTGGTAAAAGCAGCAGGGCTGATAAATCCGGCACTCTCTACACTCTAAAAGTTAATATTTCCCTTGTCTACAATTATTTGCATTTTCACATTCACGTCGTTGTCTTTTGTATAATAGCCAGGAATCACGCAGCACAAGTGGTAACCGTTATTGCAATCACTTTTCGTTTGTTTGTCACTTGTGTCATCCCTACTTTATGATGCAAATAATAGCAGAGCCAAGGAAGCCCTATATAAATGCAATAACTTAAAATTGGCCCTTGCAATAAAAAATGTCATGTTTGTTAATTAACACATTTGCCCAAGATTTCACAGCATAACCATCCTGGTTCAATATCGTCTGTATAAAAAGGTGATCATCATAACATAAAAAGAACTGTAGAAAACTATGAAAAAAGTCTGGCAGACAAAGAAATATGTCAAATCCAACAAAACTATAAATGTTTTCCTTTCTTGAAGGCAAAGCTCACAACCTATCTTTGCTCACCATGCATGGAAAACAGTGAGTATCAGTTATGCTGTTGCTGCAACTACAGTGCTAAGTAGATCATATAAATACCAATACATATAGGAGATGGCTCATTTTAACTGAAGGTGTATTGCACTCATATACACCAAAACAGGGAGAAAATCGCATTATCCTTTGAATGATACAGCTAAAGTGTCATCAGAACTTGTACTGTTCTGTATTGTAATTTTCCCCTCTAATTTTCTACATATTCTAAGGGGTTTTGGGTTTTATAATATGTAATTTGTGGTTAATAAACCCTTTGGAAATAATAAGTCATCATTGTAATAGTTCAGAATTTGTCATCCCTCCCAGTGGTGTAAACATGTTGCATGCACACGCGACGTTCACAAATAATAACAAAAACAAAGTCAAAACACAAAATCAATCATTATCGTCTTTAAAGCACACTTTAAAAGATTCAGTCCATAAGTAGCCTCTTCTAATCCTTGGAAGGAAGAAATCATCTTCATCACATTTTGGTAATCTATTCAAAGCCCACTTGCCAATAGTAACCCATTTACACAAAGGCTTTCGTTAAAATGTGGTCTTTCAGATAAAAACAAAAAACAGACAAAACAGACACCCACATGGAGGAGATGGATGGTTGTGTGAGGGTTGGAGTCACCGAGAAGAGCGGTTGCGGGACATGAAGAGGAGTACTCTGCGGATACCACTGAGTCGGTCCTTCAGAGACGTCAGGGCCAGGAAGGGCAGCTGGGCTCGACCCGCCAGGGGCAGGACTGCCAGCAGCCACCAGCACCAGGACGGCCCATTGGGACTGGCCTATAGGGGGAGAGAGCAGGAGAATAACCTTAAGAATCCAGCCATAACCTGTTCAACATAAACTGTGTCAAATCAAAATAGAGTTAACATATGTGTGATCTACAGTGCATTTGGAAAGTATTCAGCCCCCCTCCACATTTTGTTAGGTTACAGCCTTATTCTAAAATTGATTAAATTGTGTGTTTTTTTCTCATCAATCTACACACAATACCCCATAATGACAAAGCAAAAACAGGTTTTTAGACATTTTTGCAAATTCATTAAAAAAACAGAAATATGACATTTACATAAGTATTCAGACCCTTCACTCAATACTTTGTTGAAGCACCTTTGGCAACGATTACAGACTCGAGTCTTGGGTATGATGCTACAAGCTTGGCACATATTTGGGGAGTGTCTCTCATTCTTCTGTGCAGATCATCTCAAGCAAATGGTCTGAATAATTATGTAAATAAGGTATTTCTGTTTTTATTTTTAATAAATGTGTAAACATTTCTAAAAACCTGTTTTCGCTTTGTCATTATGGGGTATTGTGTGTAGATTGATGAGGGAAAAAAGTATTTAATCAATTTTAGAATAAGGCTGTAACGTAATAAAATGTGCAAAAAGTCAAGGGGTCTGAATACTTTCCGAATGCACTGTATATCCAGGATTCACTTATTTACCTGTGGCTCAGAGTCTTTCTCTGGCATGCGCCCAAAGTGCACCACAATCCTCTCCTTCTGTTCTGCTTCGAGGGAGTTGACCCAGATTAAGGCCTGGTCGTACACTGCATCATGGAGACTCTGAAGCTCCTTCTCTGCCACAACTTCCACCTATACAGAACAAGAAAAGCCTTTATTAGCACAACGAGATACACTAATACACATAAAAAATTGTTCAGACAACATTCATGCAATCCTTTAGTTTGTGATTAATAATGACCTTAACGTCTTCCAAGTATTCAATGTTTGCTGTGTTGTATCCATCTCTCTGGTTGTGCTCAATGACCTTGAACCTTCTTATCCCAATGGTGTCCACAATGGAGCGGCCATCTGCAAAGAATTCCACGTTTCGGATCTCCAGGAGGCTACCGTAATCTGCAAATCTATGGGGAAGGCAAATAAGTAGATATGGTAAGCAAATAAGACCCAAAATGTGTCTAAGGCATTCACAGGAGGACAGAAACAACAAAGTAGGCTATATAAACTATCTGCTTAAACAACTCGGTCCACACAGCATGGTGCCACCCCCCGCCTGATAATAGCTCCGTTCCTCTATTCCTCAGTGTGTGCATTAACAGCTTCAGTTAATAACGTAGCTAAAAATGTATATCTTCTGCTGCTTCCCTGACTCTGATCGGGACTGGATCTGGACCCGACTGGCTCTATACGGGCCGGGTCTGGTTGTCCTCGGATCCATTCGGACCGGGTCTCCATATTTAAAACATAAATGTATCGGGTAGGGTCCTGGGAGGAAAGCCCCGGGTCAATTTCTGAATGGGCACAACTTTTTGGACCTGAGAAGACCTCTCCCCAGGACTGAGTTTGGGATACGCTGCAATACAACGTGTAAAACCTGCTCAGCTCTGATAATAGCCTAAGGCCCTCAAGCAGCTATTCAAATTTACTGCCAGGTGGCACCGATATCCCCTGCCTGACTAAGGAACACAAAACACAATGTTTCTCTGCTTTCTCCAGGCTTTACTCACCCTTTGAGGTTATCGCCGAGGCACATTCCAAACTGCTTGGTACCCATCTCCATACACCTGCGGATCATCAGCCGGTAGCAGGGCTCGAAGATGTGAAGAGGGCATGGAACGGTGGGGAAGGCCATGGTGCAAACAAATATAGGCACGTTCTTGTTTAGACTGCAAAAGAAGAAGGTTTGAGGATATAATACATCCAAAGTTACAGATGAAGTAACATTTTATAAAGTTTCTGATGTCATTGTTACACAGTACGGAAGCAATCGGATAATGTCTGTATGCTGCTTTTAATCTTACTTGGATAAATCTGCAATCTCCTCCGCGTTGACTTTCTGCCTGTCCATGAGCTCGATTGGCAGATACTTGCAGATGAGGTTCTCCATCAAGACAGTCTTGTTGTATTTACTTTCTGCCAGATACTCTTCCAGCTCCATCTTGCAGAGGGGACACTTGGGGTTGTGGTCCAGGCATCGCTCAAGGCATTTCAGACAGAAGGTGTGGCCACAAGGAGTGGTGACTGGTTCATAAAAGAGCCTAGGGTATACCATGGAGAGAAAGGACACAATATTGTACAATAGAGTGGTACAATGTCTCTCGCTACTCTATTATTGATTACTTTCAGGTTCTTATTTACATATAGCTCATTGCATTTTCATTACATTGTTTGATAATTAAATGTAGGCTATAAGCATGAAAAAAAGGCTAAATGTTTACCTATTAATCTTTATTGCTTCATACTGAATCTTTATTGCTTCATACTATCAGAAAGGAAGATGAATATATTGTGTTCACTTGTAAAATAACTATGACTTTTGTGAGGCTATGAGAAAAGGAGTTTCAGTAATCATAGAAAATCTGATTCAAAAGCAGAATACTATATTACTATCCTTCGCAAAGTGGAAAATACTACAATTCAGCTACAAGTTTTGTCACGGATGGATGGCTGCATGGAGATGTTCTCACCTCATACAAAGAGAACACTCCAGGTCAGTCGGGTCTATGAGGTCAGAAAGCACTGTACTCCAGGAAGTCGCCTCTTCATTCTGGGTCACTTCTGTTAAGGAGGAGAAACATTTGAGTTAAGATAGTGAATCTCAACAACTGCTTCCCTTATAGTAAATATCATGCCGATAAAGCTCCATTGAATTGAAGGGCATTTTAAGAAGCGAGACAAAAAGTCTTAAAACTTACCAGATTTGGAGCACTTGCAGGTGTCACTACTATCCACTTGGCTGTCCTCGGACGAGCTACGTTTGCGTTTGAGGAAGACGCTCCTGTCGATGACGGTGGGATGGCAGACATACGATGTCAACTTCTCATCAGAGGCGATGATATTCTTGTAATCCTGTGAGAAAGGTGATGATAGGACATTTAAATTAGTTCATGATTTCAACTCAATGCACTAGATGATAATACTTTATTATATTTAAAAACCTAAAAGATGGAGGATTTCTCTTACCTTGTAAGACTTGGAGGAAGTGGTGGTGTTGCAGCTTGAGGTTGAGGTGTTCAGGATGCCACCTTTAATTTTATTTCTGGAAGATAGTAGACTTGTGCCGTCCAGGATTCTGTTGTGTACTTGATCAGTGACAGGGGACAGAAGATCACTCAGAAGCTTTTCCGCTTCCTTTTTTGCCAGTTTACTTTCAGGATCTAATGTAATGACGACCAGGTACTCTCTTAACGCTTCTTCACATTTTCCCAGACTGACTAAAGCTTGTGCTTTTCTAATATGTCCCTGGAAGAAAAATAAACACATGTTTAGTAATCAGAACAACCATACCATTATATTGCATTGTGAAGCTCTGATGGTAGATCTAAATTAAACATTGAGGAAAAAGTCCAACCCTCACCTTTGACCAAAGAGGCATGAGTTTGCATGCCATCTCTGCATCATGAAGTGCATCCTCGTAATTCTTCAGACTGGAATTGATCTGTGATCGGTTGCTGTACAGCACATGGTCCCGTGGAGCTGGAAAATAAATAAAACATATATTTACTTGGATAGACAGAGATTTACTTTGTACCAGAACTATAACTGTACATGGTCAAATTCAATAGAAATTGAAATAGGGGCTGAAACTGATAATCTATTCATTAAACCATCATTCTATGTCACACAAGACTAGTTTTCTTTAGTTCACAGTGAAAATGTGCAGATTTTGGATTATTGTTGAAAGTGATAATTGTTGTTCAACATTTGAAGAAGTACACTACCGGTCAAAGGTTTTAGAACACCTACTCATTCAAGGGTTTTTCTTTATTTGTACTATTTTCTACATTGTAGAATAATAGTGAAGACAACAAAATATTGAAATAACACATATGGAATCATGTAGTAACCAAAAAAGTGTTAAACAAATCAAAATATATTTTATATTTGAAATTCTTCAAATAGCCACCCTTTGCCTTGATGACAGCTTTGCACACTCTTCGCATTCTCTCAACCAGCTTCATGAGGAATGTTTTTCCAACAGTCTTGAAGGAGTTCCCACATATGCTGAGCACTTGTTGGCTGCTTTTCCATCACTCTGCGGTCCGACTCATCCCAATCCATCTCAATTTGGTTGAGGTCAGGAGATTGTGGAGGCCAGGTCATCTGATGCAGCACTCCATCACTCTCCTTCTTGGTAAAATAGCCCTTACACAGCCTGGAGGTGTGTTGGGTCATTGTCCTGTTGAAAAACAAATGATAGTCCCACTAAGCCCAAACCAGATGTGATGGCATATCGCTGCAGAATGCTGTGGTAGCCATGCTTGTTAAGTGTGCCTTGAATTCTAAATAAATCACAGACAGTGTCACCAGCAAAGCAACCCCACACCATCACACCTCCTCCTCCATGCTTTACGGTGGGAAATACACATGCAGAGATCATCCGGTCACCCACACTGCGTCTCACAAAGACACAGCGGTTGGAACCAAAAATCTCAAATTTGGACTCCAGACCAAAAGACACATTTCCTGCTCGTGTTTCTTGGCCTAAGCAAGTCTCTTCTTATTATTGGTGTCCTTTAGTAGTGGTTTCTTTGCAGGAATTCACCATGAAGGCCTGATTCATACAGTCCCCTCTGAACAGTTGATGTTGAGATGTGTCTGTTACTTGAACTCTGTGAAGCATTTTTTTGGGCTGCAATTTCTGAGGCTGGTAACTCTAATGAACCTATCCTCTGCAGCAGAGGTAACTCTGGGTCTTCCATTCCTGTGGCGGTCCTCATGAGAGCCAGTTTCATCATAGCGCTTGATGGTTTTTGCGACTGCACGAAGTTCTTGAAATGTTCCGTATTGACTGACCTTCATGTTTTAAAGTTTTGGGCTCCCAAGTGGTGCAGTGGTCTAAAGCACTGCATCTCAGTGCTTGAGGCGTCACTACAGACCCCCTGGTTCGATTCCAGGCTGTATCACAACCGGCCGTGTTTGGGAGTCCCATAGGGCGGCGCACAATTGGCCCAGCGTCGTCCGGGTTTGGCCGGTGTAGGCCGTCATTGTAAATAAGAATTTGTTCTTAACTGACTTGCCTAGCTAAATAAAGGTACAAAAAATAAAAATAAAAAAGTAATGATGGACTGTCGTTTCTCTTTGCTTATTTGAGCTGTTCTTGCCATAATATGGACTTGGTCTTTTACCAAATAGGTCTTTCTTCTGTATACTCCCCCTACCTTGTCACAACACAACTGATTGGCTGAAACGCATTAAGATGGATAGAAATTCCACAAATTAACCTTTAAGAAGGCACACCTGTTAATTGAAATTCATTCCAGGTAACTACCTCATGAAGCTGGTTGAGAGAATGCCAAGAGTCTGCAAAGCTGTCATCACGGCAAAGGGTGAATATTTGAAGAATCTCAAATATAAAATATATTTTGATTTGTTTAACACTTTTTTGGTTACTACATGATTCCATGTGTTATTTCATAGTTTTGATGTCTTCACTATTATTCTACAATGTAGAAAATTGTAAAAATAAATAAAAACCCTTGAATGAGTAGGTGTTCTAAAACTTTTGACCGGTAGCGTATATCTCTAATCAATAACAATATCAGTGCGGCACACGAGAGTGAAACCAATACAACTGTGTCTGCTGTTTAACTTTTACTACCCTTGACCTAGATTTGTTTTACTGTTTGTTACCTTAAGCAATGTTTGGTCCCCTAGCCTACATAACATCTTATTCAACCTTCACACGCCCATCTGTATGTAGGGTGATCAGTGCCAGTTTGAAAATGCTTAAATGCTCAATTGAAATGTGGAAATGATAAATGCCTTCATATTTTCATATCAGTGCACATGATTCATGACACGGTAAACAGAAATTCTAAATGAAAATGGTCAACAGAAAATGGTAAATGCAATGTTCAAAATGAAATGGAAAGTGGCTTTTTTCATTTTCCAATTGCCCATTTGAGCATTCTCGTTTCTCTTTTAATTTGTAAAATGTATGCAAATTACTTCCTGGAGGCGTGAACCAGGAGAGAAACATGACACGCTCTCTGTGCATTCATTTTAGACTAGTGTAACCGACGGGGTTCGAACCTGGTGTCCTGTACACCAGAAGAACATATGAGCCTGCTAAGCCAAATCCTAGGAGGCAAAGCAATCTTTCTGGTCTCAGGCAAAGTTACTCAACACTCTGAAAAGTTACTCATCACGTGTGTGGTCACCGAACCACTTTTTTCCTAGTTGTTCGCATGATGAGTAACCTTACCTGATACCTTAAGATTTGGCTATAAGCGTTGGTTTAGCGTACTAATGTGCTCTTCTGATGTGCAGAAGACACTTGTTTGAACCCTGTCAATCATATTTGTGCCATGACTCAGATGGGTCTCTGTGAGGAGGAGGAGGAGGAGGAGGAGGAGGAGGAGGTCAAAGGATGGTGATCGGTAACTGGGGTGGTTCAGTTACCACACATGCATGATGACTAGGCCTAACCTTGCCTGAGACCTGAAGAGTTGCATTGGCTCCCAGAGTCAATGCCTAGGCTTCAGCTTAGTACGCCTATGCTTTTTTTGGTGCGCAAAAGACCTGGGTTCGCACCGGGTGTTGGTTACACTAGTCTCAAATCAATCTACAACACAGCATGGCTAGGATGTACTACTACATGTGGGTGTGGTGGTGCTCTCCTGGTTCACGCCTCCAAGAAGAAATGTGCATACACTTTGAAAATATTAATTGAAAAGAGAATGCTGAATTGGGTAGTTGAAAAATGAAAATAGGTATTTCAATCTCACTATGCACATTGCATTTACGAATTTCTGTTTACCATTTGGCTTCTTCCGTTTACTATTTTTATTTAGAATTTATGTTTACCATTTACAATTTTCCTTTAACCTTTTTGGATTTCATTTTAAACTTTGCAATTTAATTGTAGCATGAATCATACGCACTGATATGAAAATAAAAAGGGATTTATTATTTCACATTCCTATTTAGCAGTTTCGAACTGGCCCTAATCACCCTCCATACATCTTCCCATGTATGTCATAAGCATGAATGTCTCTGAATTAAGGGGACATTTATAGCCTAGTAATAAACAGGATACATTGTTATAATAATTTCCCCACAGAATTTCTCAAATGTAGAGCAGCTTACACCACACGGACGTTACATCACACACCTGCGGATTCAGCTGTCAATTAAAACCAGCCCATGGAAACAGAAGCCTACATACTGTTGCAACATTGCATAAGATATAGGCCATCCATTTCAGATGTTTAATTGAATTTAGAATTAGTTTAAATGAAAAGTTAAAATACCATACCTATTTGTATTGCTTCGTTGTATTTTTCCAAAGTAGCATCCATTATTTTATCTGAATATAGTCCATTCCCCTCACGTCTCAGTTGAACAGCAAGTAATTGAACTGGAAACCACTTTGACAACAAGTTACTAAGAACAACATTTACTCTATAATTGTCCACATCATTGAGTTTGGTGTGCCTTCTGTCATTACATTCTTTGCAGCAGACAGGCATTTTTTCTTTGTCCAGGCACTTTTTGCAAAAGCTGTGTCCACAAGGCAAGGTAACTGGCTCGTATAGAAATCCATAACATATTTTGCAGGTAAATGCATCATATCCAACGCAATCAGAGCGTGTCTCCTGCCTGTTGTTTTGACTGTCTGTCCCATCTTGTCTTTTAATACTGTTAGAGAGATATTCAATAAGATTATCCAGATGGACTGGTCGTAGTCTCTCGATTTCAGCGGCTTTTCGGTAGATCTCGAAGGCATCGGTCAATTTGCCAGCAAATGCCAGGGCATCCGCCCGTTTCACCAAGAGATGTTGCTGCGTACTTGGGTCGCAGAGGTTCAGCAGTTGGCATTCGTATATGTCCGCGGCGAGCCCGAAGTTTTTAGATTGAAAAGCTTCTGCCGCAAGAAGCAGCATACAATCGGTATTATCCGTTCCCATAATGACTGCGGTTGTGTAGTATAGTCGCTAAATCAATCTTCCCTTTTTAGAAGTAACTGGTCGATTTGTATTTATCTTATTTTCTGAAGTCTTTTCCCTCTGTTCAACTCACTACTTTGAGACAATATCATAAAACACAATGAATGATACAATCATTGTAAAAAAATATATATATTACGTAAACAAAAGTGTCATGTGACCACGGCCAGCCGTTCCAATTGGACAGGTTTTTAACCCTGTTACCTAATAATTCAGTTGTAAAACAGAAAGCGTCTATACTGTGGATAGAAGTCGGTAAATGTCCTGAAATGGGACAAATGCGTAATAGATTTATGTAGGCAGAAGGCATTCCATAACAGGACGCTCGGACAGTAGAGCATATCTCTATGCATGCAATGGACACATACATTCTATGTCGCAGTAAACTGTAAAGTGACATATATATATATATAGGCTACAGTAGCCATAATTACACATTCTTGAGGTCTTTTTACCAATTGTGACACATAATTAGGCAATGTACTCGAGCCAGTGAATAAGAAGTTGAAGAATAAGTCATTTGTTTTCAATCAATCAAGCACTAAAGCAGGGTTTCCCAAACTCGTTTAGATTTAGATTTATGCCCTAGCACTACACAGTGGATTCAAATAATCAACTAATCATCAAGCTTTGATAATTTGAATCAACTGTGTAGTGTGAGGGAAAAAAACAAAACATGCACCCCTTTGGTTCCCGAGGACCGAGTTTGGGAAACGCTGGACTAAATACAGCTAGGGGGTTACCCAAATTGCTCCACAAATGGGTCTTCTAAACTTGCATATGAACTCAATCCCACTTTCAGACAGCTAGGGTTCAATATCAGGGCCAGGGCAACATTATTGCAGTGACTCTGAAAGTTGGCCATCGGTGTGACCCAGTCAGCTCGTCTAGACCTTTTTCCAATGTCATTTGCAATTCTCTGGCAACTTTTTTTTAATGGTCCTATAGGTAATCACATGGTTATAAGTACCATAATGAAACACAAACATTACATTTACTGTAAACACCTGAATTAAATACTGTATTTGTTCTGCCTCCCTAATACCTCCAGTTATCAAATACATGTGGAAACAGGCACCTAGAGATTAAAATAAACATATGCAATGTCTGATCACTTAGTGTAGTATTTAGGCCAACTTTCCTGTGATCTGATTGTGCAACTGGAGCAGATTGACCTGAGAGAGCCCTGATGATGACAAAATATTAGCATTCCAAATCTGCATTGAAATGGAGCATGTGAACACAGTACAATATTTATGTTTGAGGAAAGTGTTGGGCATACCAGACTGTGTTATCTCATAATCCTTCACCATACGATTTAACCCATATTCTCTAGTCTAAACCATGTTGTAGCTACAGTTGCATAAGCAGGAACAGTGTAGGTACACACTGCTACATACAGTAATAACCTACATACAACTGTGATACATAATTGCAGGCTGTGTAATTACACATATCAATCTTTACATGCATTAGACAAACTTAAATCAACCATCTCCTCCCTCACCCTACACTTACACACTTAGAAAATAGGGTTCTTGGTAAGGGTGATGTTTCTATGTGAAACATGAATGACTCAAAGAACCCTTGGAGCCCTTTAAGTGATCAATAAAAATGTAGGGATGACGGCATATTATAAAATTTTGGGGTGTGGTTTCCTCCCAGCTCTTTTTGTGCAACTGTAAGTAAGAGTGTAGTAATACATTGGTGAGGAGACATGCATATCAAAGCCATATACAGCAAGTTGTTACAGTGTTTTTACCTCAAAGTGATGGGCACTTCCATCAGAGAGCTTCATCGGCATTAAAATGGAGGTTGCAGGGCACGAGCTAGGGAGCTTCCAATAAAACAAAAGATAATTTAATACTATTGATATTATTAATCAGTCTTCTAATTGATTCTGTTTGGTTTTTAAATCCTCATTAAACAATAATGAAAAGTGTTTACTATTTATCAAACCATGTATTGTACTAATGTAAAACGATAACACTGCATGCATTTCATGGACATTTACAGTTCTCAAAGTAGTTTTTATCTCAGTTAAATTTATATTACAAACAGTTGACCCGCCTCTGTTACAGTGAATGAAGTATAGTGTACCTTGTTGAAATGGCCATGTCCACTCTCCATCTGAGATCATCAACGTAGGGTAATCGAGGTTTGCTGTGTAGCCACTGCCTCCAGTGCTGTTAATCTGAAAACAACCACAGGGAAAGCAAGGGACAGTGAGCTGAGCCACAGCCACAGAGTGAGCACCAAATGTGTTTCTGTGCACAATAAAGTGCTGGCAAACCTGGATTTTAGTTTAAGAAAGACATATACCTTTTCATTATGTTTGTGTCAATAACGTTATATAACAACAAAAATAATTGTGGGAATATAGGCTAATGTTAAGCCATAACAAACAGTCAACATACTGATTGCCAAACACCACACTTGCAAAGTCTGTGATGAATTCCTCAGGTATCCTACAATGAGAGAATAAATGTTATATTTTGTTACAATGTAATCTAAAATACCGCCTGCTCCTTCTGTGGTTGCCAAGTTTTGGGGATCTTGGACTGCCTATAGTAAGCAATTGTTCAATTCCTTGATATAGGCAGGAGAAAACTGTCCATCTTCACAGCTTTGAGATGTGATGATGAGGTGATGAAGGAAATTAAAGAACATGCCTTACTTCCCTAAGATCTTATTTGAAGACCTAGAAGATGGAAACAACAATGTTATTGTGTTTTATGAAGGAGTTATGAAATCAGACGTCATCTAAAAATATGACATGAGCATGATGTATGAGAGTATGGATTTAATACAACATAAAAATACCCTATTTCTTGTTTTAAAGATGATGTGGGGATACGTAATGCCTCTTTTAGGAGTCTGTACATTCCAACCACAATATACAGTACCTGTCACGCCCTGACTCTAGGGACTTGTATTTGTTGAGTCAGGGTGTGTATTTTCTGTGTTGGGTTTGTCTATGTTAGTTTCTAGATCGTTTAGATCTATGTTGGCCAGGGTGGTTCCCAATCAGAGGCAGCTGTAGCTCGTTGTCTCTGATTTGGGGACCATACTTAGGCAGCCTTTTGGCACCAGTCAGTTGTGGGATCTTGTTCCGTGTGAGGTATGTTATTTGTCTACCTTGGACGTCACGTTCGTTTGTTGTTTTGGTTGTGCGTTTATTCATGAAATAAATATGAATGCATATCACGCTGCGCCTTGGTCCTTCTCGTTCATGAACGATCGTGACAGTACCAGTCAAAAGTTTGGACACACCTACTCATTCAAGGGTTTTTCTTTATTTTTACTATTTTCTACATTGTAGAATAATAGTGAAGACATCAAAACTATAAAATAACACATACAGTGAGGGAAAAAAGTATTTGATCCTGTCACGATCGTCATTAGATGAAACGGGCCAAGGCGCAGCGTGATAAGCGTACATGATTTATTAGATGTACAACACACGAACAAAAACAACAAACGATACGTGAAGTCCACAGGTTCACCAACACAAACCTACACGGAACAAGATACCACACCACACAAATGCCAAACGACTACCTAAGTATGGTTCCCAATCAGAGACAACAAGCAACAGCTGATTCACGTTGCCTCTGATTGAGAACCACCCTGGCCAACATAGAAACACAAAATATAGAAACTAACACCCTGGCTCAACATTAAAGAGTCCCCAGAGCCAGGGCGTGACAGTACCCCCCCCCCCCCCCCCCCCCCCCCCCCAAAGGCGCGGACTGCGACCGCGCCAACCAAACACCACAGGGGAGGGACCGGGTGGGCATTCCACCTCGGCGGCGGATCCGGCTCCGGGCGTGACCCCCACCCTCTAACAACCCCCCGTAGTGCCCCTGGTCTGGTCCCGCTGGCTGGAGCTGGACTGGACATCGGTGGAGCGGATTGCTTAGGCTCCGGTGTGGAGCAGCTGACCGGTACCTGACCAGGCACCTGTGAAACGGGCACGGGCTGTGCCGGACTGACGACGCGCACCACAGGCTTGGTGCGGGAAGCAGGGACGGGCCGGACCGGGCTGACGACGCGCACCATTGGCTTGGTGCAAGGACGGGCCGAACCGGGCTGACGAAGTGCACCACTGGCTTGGTGCGGGGAGCAGGAACAGGCCGGACCGGGCTGACGACGCGCACCACAGGCTTGTTGCGGGGAGCAGGAACAGGCCGGGCCGGACTGGCGACGCGCACCATAGGCTTGGTGCGGGGAGCAGGAACAGGCCGGGCCGGGCTGGCGACGCGCACCATTGACTTGGTGCGGGGAGCAGGAACAGGCCGGACCGGACTGGCGACGCGCACCATTGGCTTGGTGCGGGGAGCAGGAACAGGCCGGGCCGGGCTGTAAGTAAGAGTGTAGTAATACATTGGTGAGGATACATGCATATCAAAGCCATATACAGCAAGTTGTTACAGTGTTTTTACCTCAAAGTGATGGGCACTTCCATCAGAGAGCTTCATCGGCATTAAAATGGAGTTTGCAGGGCACGAGCTAGGGAGCTTCCAATAAAACAAAAGATAATTTAATACTATTGATATTATTAATCAGTCTTCTAATTGATTCTGTTTTTAAATCCTCATTAAACAATAATGAAAAGTGTTTACTATTTATCAAACCATGTATTGTACTAATGTAAAACGATAACACTGCATGCATTTCATGGACATTTACAGTTCTCAAAGTAGTTTTTATCTCAGTTAAATTTGTATTACAAACAGTTGACCCGCCTCTGTTACAGGGAATGAAGTATAGTGTACCTTGTTGAAATGGCCATGTCCACTCTCCATCTGAGATCATCAACGTAGGGTAATCGAGGCCCTTGCTGTGTAGCCACTGCCTCCAGTGCTGTTAATCTGAAAACAACCACAGGGAAAGCAAGGGACAGTGAGCTGAGCCACAGCCACAGAGTGAGCACCAAATGTGTTTCTGTGCACAATAAA